GACTAAACCCGCGTCACACCTTGTTCAGGGGCGGGCGACCGCCGCGGGTTCGAATCCTCCCAGAGTCAAAATTCATATATTTTTAACTGATTATCGCGACTTTCCTGCAGATCGCCGGTGAAGGATTAAGCAACCGGAATCGCTGGATCATCGGCGAAAATCTCGTCAACGCGATTCGCGGAGCATTGCTACTAAAATTTCTGAACGATTCGCGATAAAAGGATCGCAATCCATCGAGTAAATCATCTCCGATTGATCGACGAACAAGCCGTCGTCGGGAAGAGGACGATCCGCCGGGAGACCAGTCGCCACCTCCTGAGAGCGTACCAGATGCGATGAAGAGCCTCCTCTTGCTGCGCGGACCTGAGGATGAAGCTCCCTAACACGCGCCTCACCTCCATCCAGCCCCTCTCCGTCGGGTGACAGCCGCCGGAGAGCCGCAAAGTCGCCGTTTTTCCGCTCCGCCGGGTGACAGCCGCCGGAGACGATTCGACGACCCACTTCATTGGTCTCTAGACTTCGCGAGAAGATCTAGAGACTGCCCACGTCGTCTTTGTCCAAGGAGAGCCTTCGAGGCCGTGGACACTGCACGACGACCCTCCCGAACGCTCAGGATTCCGGTGCATCGCCGACGCGTCGCCGTCGCGACGCCGGAACTCTGTTTTCCTGCTTTATCTAGAGATTGCCCACGTCGTCTTTGTCCAAGGAGAGCCTTCGAGGCCGTGGACACTGCACGACGATCCTCCCGAACGCTCAGGATTCCGGTGCATCGCCGACGCATCGCCGTCGCGACGCCGGAACTCTGTTTTCCTGCTTTCAATTTAATTTACGCTTCATTTAGTGATACTTTGTTGATTTTTATTTACCAAACTATACTTCGTTCAATTACGATTCTTCCGGCTTTTACAGATCTTAATTTGATTAATTGAGTCGTCTGTAATCGCCTACGTAAGAATCGCCGGGCGGAACTCTGTTTCCGCCTGATTCGCGTTCGCCGGGCGCTGACGTCATCCTGACGTCCGCACCCTTATTTCCTTTTTTTTCGTGAATTTTAAATATATTTCCTTTTTATTTCCTAGTATAAAATTCGTAAGAAAATCGTACTCATTGAGAAAAATTCTGAATAATTACCAGATATTATATTACATCCCTGTGATCGACCTGGAAAATTACCACTATTTTTGAGATTTTTATTGAATTATAATTGATATATTTATTTTGAAATACTTCTAAATATCCGAAAATTCGTATTTTCTAGTTTTATAAATTTTAAATTTGCGTGATTTAACATACAACGACTGAGTCACGTCAGGCACCATGTGGTGAAGCAAGCCTCGGTTCTTTTTGTTGCCCTAGGGAGGAGTAAAGTCAGCAGTTGACTTGTTGAATTCTTTCATGTCTTGACAAAGATAGTGAGCAACGATGTTTTGGCATTTTGTTCAAGCCTCCATCAGATGACTACTGTGGGAGCGAGGTTGCGTGTAAGAGATGTCGTGGACCACAGAAAGCCAACTACTCTATGGCAATTCAAGAAAAGATAAGAGTATGAAAGAGAGAGAGAGAGAGAGAGAGAGAGAGAGAGAGAGAGAGAGAGAGAGTAGTTGATGTGAATTTTTGGCTAATTATGTGATTTTATGTGAGTTTATATAATTTTATAATCATATTTTTGAGATAAATGAAAATAAATAAATAAATAAAAATATAGAAAAAGGGTGGGGACCTACCAGCTAACTAGGCTTGCAAGCATGTTGGAAGCACAATCAAGTGGAGCTACAAGCGACTAAAGACTGATAGGATACACATGTGTGCCACTCCCCTTCCACATCATTAGTGGCCATCTAGACATGCGGCTTTGTCAACTACTATATGATCATATGAAGCCGAATTTCTCTAGGTATAGTGGGCCCATCTATAAAGGAGTGGTCATAGAGATGCAAGAGAGAGACTTATTGAGATAGAATATTAGATTACTATACACATGTGAAAGAAAGACTCATTGATGATAGAATATTGGACTACTATACACACGTGAAAGAAAGACTCATTGATGATAGAATATTTGACTACTATACACATGTGAAAGAAAGACTCATTGATGATAGAATATTGGACTAGTATACACACATGAAAGAAAGACTCATTGATGATAGAATATTGGACTGCTATACACATGTGAAAGAAAGACTCATTGATGAGAGAATATTGGACTACTATACACATGTGAAAGAAAGACTCATTGATGATAGAATATTGTATTACTATATGTGCATCTCAAAACTGAAAAAATAATTTATCTAGGATTAAATCGACATCACAACTTCCTAAAATATTTTTAATAATTTTAATATCCAAAATATCCCTTATTTATGAGAAGACAATACCTTTATGATGTCATTTTTTAAGGGTATTTACATACTTATTTCACTCTCTCTTATACAAATAGGTGACTAGTGAAGCTTCAAATCTTACTAGAGCTAATACTGATATTTTTCTATGATTAAATCAGATTTTTTATGTAAATTATCGATAAGCAATTAAGCCGTCATAATTGCTCAATCACTATTGAAAATCTTATCAACGTGATTTGTGGAGCATCATTACTAAAATTGTCAAATGATTCAAAATAAAAAGATTGTGAATTCATCGAGTAAATCATCTCGGATTGATTGATAAATAAGTTTTCATTAGGAAGAAGATAATCTACTAGGAGATGAGTTGCCACCTCTTAAGAGCATATCAGATGCGATGAAGAGACTACTCTTACTATGCGAACTTGAGGACAAAACTCCTTAAGATACACCTCACGTCCATCCAATTTATCTCTATCGAGTGATAACCGTCGCAGATCTACAAAGTCGTCAATTTTTCGCTCCACCGACTAATAGTTGTCAAAGATGATTCATCAACCCACCTCATTAATTTCTAGACCAAGAAGATCTAGATATTGTTCATGTCATCTATCTCTAAAGAGACCCTTTGAGGCCATTGACATTTCACGATAATCCTCTCTAAACATTCAAGATTATGACGCATCGTTGACGCAACGATAGAACTCTATTTTACCATTTTAACTAGTTTAACTTTCACTATTATTTTCTAGACTTTGAAAAGAGATTTAGAGAGCGCCTAAGTGGTCCATGTCTACATAGAGCTTTTGAGGCCTTAGACATTGCACAATAATTATCCAGATTATGTAGAATTCCAACAATCCATGTCGCAAGGCCGAAACTCTACATTTCTTCCTTTCAACTTAATTTTTACTTGGTTTAGTGATACTTTGTGTGATTCCAAGTTTCGAATCTCTTCTTTAATAAATTATAATTTTTCTAGCTTTTACATATCTTAATTTGACCAAATAAATCGTACATAATCGCTTACATAAGAATCATTAGAGGCAACTATGTTTCTACCCAATTCACGTTCATCGGGGTGTTGACATCATCCTGATATCTGCACTCTTATTTTCTTTTTTCGTGAATTTTAGATATATTTAATTTTTATTACTTTATCTAAAACTCATAAAAAATCATATTTTTTGCAAAAAATTATAAAACATTACTCGATATTATATTACATCCCTGTGATCGAGTTGAAAAATTATCACTATTTTTGAAACTTTTATAGAATTATAATTGATATATCTTTTCATAAATACTTCTAAATATCATCACCTATTGACCTATATTTTCTTATTTTATAAATATTTAAATTTACGTGATCTATTATATAATGACTAGGTCTCGTCACTTATTGAAAGGTAAATAGAAAAAAATGAGAAAGAATATCATTCATGAATGCACAAAACTTGTTGAATTTTATGGATTTATTTTCTACATTTATGTCTGTTGGGGTTAGGGGCTCAACGTAAAAGTTGGATCCAATCAAGCCAAGTCAAATCCCATAGGTCTTTAAGATATCAAAATGTATCTTTGATCCAAGATAGAAGTGTAGAAAGTACTCTATTACCGATTATCTATTCAGAAAATGTAGCAAACAAGGCATCTAACCATGCAAACTATTCAAAAGATGCAATTACGATTTAGAGAGGATGTGATTGTACAAAAAATTTCTGTGTTGAAGATCATTTCTGCATCTCATTTGCACTGTAATTGCCGTCATTATAACCCTATCGTTCAACCAAAACAGTAAACTCGGAATCAGTGTCAGGAGAAAACGGGAAGAAGACTTCGATCACTCTTTTCACCGGTCTCCAAGATTGAGCTTGCTCGAAGATAGGTAGATATTGATGGCAGAGATATGAAGAAAGAGGTGTACTATAAATAGACACATGTATTTACGGCAAGAGAGAGAAGGAGAGACGTAAACCCAGCCTACGTGGAGAACTACAATTTAATGGACTTCTCAGTCTGCACTAATTTTTAGATACGACGGAAAACGAGAAAAGCACGGTTTAACTTTTATATAATTTGACTTTCAATCTTAACATCCGAGGAAACCGGGCCAAGTTCACAGGGACTCGACGCGATTTATTTCCTCCTATGGATAAAGCCGCCCAAGTTTTGACCGTGAAGGGGTTCAAACACGTGCTTTCTATCGGGATTGCTACGTTTTAACGCAAGCAAGCGCTAGCTCTTCGAAGCCTCGGAGGGTGAGCACGTGCCACGGTCAATCCCGTCCTGCCTTGTTGTCGTATATCCACCATGGATGGAATCCAGTCAAACTTGTCCTCGACTCGATGGTATCCTTCGACGCAGGCACCAGTCTCTGAACGTTCGGTGTTCGTCCGAAAACTATCCCTCTTATCTATAAAACCTGCCTACTCTCTGGGAAGACCAACAGTGCCTGAAATCGTACAAGCACTACCAATCCGTTCTTCTCATTCTTTTCTCCTTCTCACTCTTTTCTCTTTGTCCACTTCCCGTCTTGGTTCTTCGTCTTCTGTTTTTCAGAGTCCTCGTCTTTCGTTGGGGTTTTCGTTGGATCCCTTTTTCTTTTTCTTCCTCTTCCTGGTCTCTGTAAGAGTTACCCACACCATCTTCATGGACTCCGTCGCCGAGAGCTTCGTGACTCAGTCGGCGGTCAGCGACAACCTGATCACCATCCTCAGCATAGACGGAGGCGGTGTCAGAGGCATCATCCCGGCTACCATTATCGCCTTCCTGGAGAAAGAACTTCAGGTATGTTAAAGAAAGAGCAGATGCCTGTTCCACGGCGTCCAACCGAGCGGCACTTCTCCCAGATGCATTCATACCAAAAACCTATAAATTCATAGTCTTCATTCTTCGCAGTTAACTAAAAAATACTGATTAGTAAGACTTTCAGACACGTCGTTAAAAATTTGGAGAACACCACCGAATGCATGCATCGTTCGAATTTTTTTCATTATTTCTCGTTTTTTCCTACGGATGTATTGAGTAGGGAGACATTGGCCATCCATTCTCAACATTGCCGGGCTGTTCTCACGCGTAGATTCATTCCGCTTACTTTCGACAGGAGCTCGACGGGGAGGATGCGAAGATCGCAGACTACTTCGACGTGATTGCAGGGACAAGCACCGGGGGCCTCGTGACGGCCATGCTGACGGCTCCCAATGAACACAATCGCCCCATCCTAGCCGCCAAAGATATCAAGGACTTCTACCTTGAGAACTGCCCTAAGATTTTCCCCCAGATCAGGTAACTACCGGGATTACAGCACGGAAAATTCCTGGTTGTCGTTTATATGATCTCAGTATGTCTTACATCGGCCTCCTGATACATCGTAATTTGTGGAACCAGGGGCCCGCTCGCCGGAATCCGCCAACTGATCAATGGTATCACAGGACCGAGATATGATGGAAAATACCTTCACAAGCTTATAAGGGAAAAACTGGGAAGTGTTAAGTTAGGGGACACACTGACAAACGTGCTCATTCCGGCCTTCGACATCAGGAATCTCCAACCCACTGTCTTTTCCAGTTCTGAGGTGTGCACGTCAGTTTTAACCCGAGGAGCTGCCATTGTTTTTCCTATCTCTCTCTCTCGCTCTCTCTCTCTCTCACTCGCTCTCTCTCTCTCTCTCTCACTCACTCTCACTCTTTTTGGATGCTTTCTGAACAACTGGAATGAACTGATCTCAGGCGAAGAACGGCAATTGTTTGAATGCGACTCTCTCCGACGTCTGCATTAGCACCTCAGCCGCCCCCACCTACCTGCCGGCCTACTACTTCAACGTACAGACACCTCGTGGGGGGAAGAGGGAGTTCAACCTTATCGACGGAGGCGTGGCCGCAAACAATCCGGTGAGGCATTAGCGTAGTTTATTTGTTTCTTCCAATGCGGGGACAAGATAGCTGTGATGGACTAAAGGAATGCACGTACAGCCTCTTAACTGACGAGGAAGATGCCCTGTAGGCACTGCTTGCTATCAGAGATATGACCAAGGAGACGAGAAGGAAGAACCCGGAGGTGGGCAATTCTGAGCAGCTGGACTTAAAGAAGGTTCTGCTCGTATCCCTGGGCACCGGTACGACGCAGATGGACAAGTACAGCGCGGGAGATGCCGCGAAGTGGGGTATAGTCGGATGGTTGAACAACCAGGGGTCGAATCCCTTAATCGATGTGTTCACCCAAGCGAGCGTGGACATGGTCGACCTTCATATCTCCGCCGTCTTCCAGACCCTGCGTTGTGAGGAAAACTACTTGAGAATCCAGGTTAGTCTTATCTTCTGTGTTCTGCGGTACGCACGTACACATACAGACGCGCGCAGACACACACGCGCACCCAGGTTTCAACCCTAAATAAATCGGTGTTCTTTCTGTCAATCATGGATTCACAAGAGATATTGTGAAAACGCAGGACGACACGCTCTCCGGGGACGCTTCGTCCGTCGACATCGCAACAAAGGAGAATTTAGGGAAGTTAGTGAAAATCGGAGAGGACTTGCTCGACAAACCAGTTTCGAGGGTCAATCTTGACACCGGCCGGAATGAACCTGTAGGAGCGGAGAAAAACAGAGAAGCCCTTAAAAGGTAACGGTCATTCATCTAAAGAATTTATGCGGTGTACAGATTTTTTATCAAGCATGTTCGTTTCGACATTGACAACCACATCTGATCCGCCATTTATCACTCATCTTAGACAAACGTTGAAAAATTTCCACACTATACGCTACCATCCAAATTATATCGTGAATACTTCACCTGATCTTCCTTCTCATGCAGATTTGCGAGGATGCTGTCGGATGAGAAAAGGGTTCGTCAAAAAGCGCAGCTGAAGGCGTGAAGCTCACGCGACGCATGATCATATTATTCCTTTAATGTGTGACGGTTAGGGGGGTCGTTATGTGTACAAAGAAGGCCAAGTGCTCAAACGGGACATAAAAAAGGAACTTCCTAATGTTCTAGTTATGGAAAATTATTTTAGTTAATGGCATCGGGACCTTTGTTTCTGAGTTGTGCTTCTGATGGAATATTTTTTGTGTAATATCGCTTCGCTGAGAAACGGTCTCCAGTGGAGAGCGATGTAAACGTCAATGCACAGTGGCTAGTAGATTATCTACGACTAACTTATTAACAAACCGTCAATGTGCATATGAACCTTTACACATGCCGTGTGTCGCCACCTTCGATTAGGTGCAAGTGTTTTGTGCGAGTGGAAATTAAGGGCAGGTTCTAGTAAGAAGAATAGCTCGTTGGGGGATATGGGGTCCTCCGAGTTCCCTATTAATAGAGGCCCCCTCTCCAGCTATTAGGTATCTTCTCCACCTCTCCACCAGCGATGTCGATGTCCGTTGACCCGAGAATGAAAAGATGAAAAATATTCCGCACTGTACACTACCATCCAAATTATATCGTGAATACTTCACCTGATCTTCCTTCTCATGCAGATTTGGGAGGATGCTGTCGGATGAGCAAAAGGGTTCGTCAAAAGGCGCAGCTGAAGGCGTGAAGCCCACGCGACGCATGATCACATTCTTCATGCAATTTGTGACGGTTAGGGGGGTCGTCATGTGTACGAAGAAGCCCAAATGCTAAAACGGGACCGCAAAAGGAAGTTCCACATGTCTAGTTATAGCAAAATCATTTTAGTGAATGTCATCGTGACCTTTGTTTATAAATTGTCCTTCTCATGGAATATATTGTGTAACATCTCTTCGCGTTGAAACAGTCTCCAAAGGAGAGCAATGTAGACGCCCACGCATAGTGGCAAGTAGATTATCTACGGTGTACTTATTGACAAACCGCCAATGTACATATGCACATTTACGCATGCCATATTTCGCCACCTTCGATTGATTAGGTGCTACCGTTTCGTACGAGTGGAGTTTAAGGGCAGGTTCTAGTAAGAGGAATGGCTCGTTGGGGGATATGGAGTCCTCCGAGGTCCCTATAAATAGAGGGCGCCTCTCCGCCTCTTGAGTATCCTATTTTGGGAGTTCTCGGAAAGGATTGAGGGGGATATCTCGGGAGGGTTTTTTGTGAGGATGTTGAGGGCCAATAGTGAGGATTTGTTTCTTGGACTCTTTGTGAGAGTTTCATTGTAAATTTGTCTACATGTAGTGAAGCTTTCGTCGTCGTCACCCATAGATGTATAAGGCCAACCTTCAAACCAGATCACATTTCTTTCTGTCGGTGACTTTGCTGTGAGTTGATTATTCGTGTATGTCCTTACCTCATGTCGTGCGGAACATAGAGGCAATATTCTGTGAGTTGGAGTGGGCATTTACTCCAACACGAACGATGAATAAACAAAGCCCAAACCATGTGGGTTATAATGAAAGTTGTGCCGTGTGTCACTATTCTGTTATAATGATATTTCCCGGCTACATGTGGGTTATACTTGTGTATGCAATGAGAAATCTGGTTTCTGAGGCCGTCGGTCTTGGGACCCTCTGCCACATTGTATAAGATTGGGTCGGTCGGAACGGTTATCGCGAAGATCACATATCAGTCAGCCGCCGAATTATGAAATGGGAAAGTTCTTGAGCTTATACTTACTGCTTGTGCAACCAGTGATCTAATGTGTTCATGTGACACCAACGTTTGCCGGGTATCTTATTCATCACTCCTGTTCCTTGTATTACCCGTGTGTTTGACACCAGCCTCGTTGACGGACTGAATCTGCGCTTTGCTCGACAGTCGTAGCGGCATGGGGAACCGCTGCAGAAGACGGGGAAGTTCTTCAGGGGGAGCGAAGAGTGGAGGAAGACCCCGATGGTGACGAACCAGCTCAGATATGCCACCTCCCCCCACCCCCGGCCTCGGCATCGTCGTCGTTGCGTTCGGCGTCTACCTCGTCGGCAAGGCCGCCTAAAACCACCTCTACCGCTCCGACTCCCACCCTCACTCCCACTGAAGAGGAGCGGCGGAAGGATCCCCCGACAGTGACTCTGGTTTCTCTCTCTCTCACCCACAGTATCGGCCCTTCCGCTCTCTCTCCTTCGGGCTCTTACGAACCTCTGTTCTTCCATCTGGGAGAAGCAGATCACTCGAGAAAAGATTGGGTGACATCCTGTGTTTTGTCGGCCTTTCGTCGTCTCCTCTGTCCCTCCTAAAAGATTACGGACAGTTCTATTCCTGGGTGCTTGGGTAGGAACGACGCTCCACGAGCTTCTGTTTTATCACATTGCTGCTGCGATAAATGTGGGCGAGTCAAGTTGCCATGACTAGGGTGCGCCCTCTGGATCTTGGCTTTCAGCTCGCTGTCTCCCGTCAAAAGGTTTCCTCGCGCACATCCATCACTCTCTGAATCTATGGCGTCTCTACCGTCATATGCAACGGCGAACGAAGTAGGAAACACGAGGCAGAGAGCGACGACTCGAGGCTACGCGCCAGCGATGTCGAAGTGCGTTGAACCGAGCGGAAGATGATAAGATGAATGGCGGGCCCTCGTGCTTATCTGTCTCGTCCTTGGTCAACGATATGTGGTTTCATTTCCTGAATGGGAGGAGGTGGGAGCGAGGTCTTGGTTAGCTTCACGTGCAAGACGAATGCGCAGACCCCAGAACGGGCCCAGTTTCGTAGACTAGTTCTGACTGAAATGGGTCGCCATTCATCCTAATTAGACGTGCACATTGTTCCGCCAAGGATCCGTCCGATAAGGTATTTTTGACTATTAGAAAAGGACGCCTCTCTTGTTTTTAAAATCTCGAGAGTGAAGGAGGTGAGATCCAACTCCATCATCATTTTTTAGACTTTGAAAGAAGATCCAACTCATTTCCAGATTGTCCATGTCTAAGAAAAGACTTTCAGGCCATAGAAATTATTCGATGATCCTCCTGAATACAGAATTTTAGCAATTGCTGTGTAAGGTCGAAACTCTGCCTTTCTTGCTTTCAACTTAATTTTTGCTTAATTTATTGATACTTTGTGTGATTTAAAATTTTGGAAACCTTCTTCATTCAATTAATATTATTTTGACTTCCATAGATCTTAATTTGACCCATTAAATTGTCACGAATTCTTATGTAAGAATTACCGAGGAAAACTCTATTTCTACTCGATTCGTGTTCCAAAGGACACTGATGTCATCTTGATGTCCGCACCCTTATTTCTCTCTTTTGTGAATTTTTAAAAATATTTTATATTCTTTAAAAATCATAAAAAATCTTAATCTTTTAGTAAAAATCTAAAATATAACGTGATATTATCTTACATCCTTGTGATCCACTTGTAAATTCCTCATTATTCTTACAACTTTTTATCAAATAATAAATTATTTATATTTTTTCTTAAATATTTTAAAAATTAAAATATTAATATTTTCGAATTTTATAAAATTTAAATTTATGTGATCTATAATACAACGACTAAGTCATGTCAAAGACACACATATAGTAGTGCAATATACCATCAGAAGCACAACTCAGAAACAAAGGTCCCGATGCCATTAACTAAAATAATTTTCCATAACTAGAACATTAGGAAGTTCCTTTTTGATGTCCCGTTTGAGCACTTGGCCTTCTTTGTACACATAACGACCCCCCCTAACCGTCACACATTAAAGGAATACTATGATCATGCGTCGCGTGAGCTTCACGCCTTCAGCTGCGCTTTTTGACGAACCCTTTTCTCATCCGACAGCATCCTCGCAAATCTGCATGAGAAGGAAGATCAGGTGAAGTATTCACGATATAATTTGGATGGTAGCGTATAGTGTGGAAATTTTTCAACGTTTGTCTAAGATGAGTGATAAATGGCGGATCAGATGTGGTTGTCAATGTCGAAACGAACATGCTTGATAAAAAATCTGTACACCGCATAAATTCTTTAGATGAATGACCGTTACCTTTTAAGGGCTTCTCTGTTTTTCTCCGCTCCTACAGGTTCATTCCGGCCGGTGTCAAGATTGACCCTCGAAACTGGTTTGTCGAGCAAGTCCTCTCCGATTTTCACTAACTTCCCTAAATTCTCCTTTGTTGCGATGTCGACGGACGAAGCGTCCCCGGAGAGCGTGTCGTCCTGCGTTTTCACAATATCTCTTGTGAATCCATGATTGACAGAAAGAACACCGATTTATTTAGGGTTGAAACCTGGGTGCGCGTGTGTGTCTGCGCGCGTCTGTATGTGTACGTGCGTACCGCAGAACACAGAAGATAAGACTAACCTGGATTCTCAAGTAGTTTTCCTCACAACGCAGGGTCTGGAAGACGGCGGAGATATGAAGGTCGACCATGTCCACGCTCGCTTGGGTGAACACATCGATTAAGGGATTCGACCCCTGGTTGTTCAACCATCCGACTATACCCCACTTCGCGGCATCTCCCGCGCTGTACTTGTCCATCTGCGTCGTACCGGTGCCCAGGGATACGAGCAGAACCTTCTTTAAGTCCAGCTGCTCAGAATTGCCCACCTCCGGGTTCTTCCTTCTCGTCTCCTTGGTCATATCTCTGATAGCAAGCAGTGCCTACAGGGCATCTTCCTCGTCAGTTAAGAGGCTGTACGTGCATTCCTTTAGTCCATCACAGCTATCTTGTCCCCGCATTGGAAGAAACAAATAAACTACGCTAATGCCTCACCGGATTGTTTGCGGCCACGCCTCCGTCGATAAGGTTGAACTCCCTCTTCCCCCCACGAGGTGTCTGTACGTTGAAGTAGTAGGCCGGCAGGTAGGTGGGGGCGGCTGAGGTGCTAATGCAGACGTCGGAGAGAGTCGCATTCAAACAATTGCCGTTCTTCGCCTGAGATCAGTTCATTCCAGTTGTTCAGAAAGCATCCAAAAAGAGTGAGAGTGAGTGAGAGAGAGAGAGAGAGAGCGAGTGAGAGAGAGAGAGAGCGAGAGAGAGAGATAGGAAAAACAATGGCAGCTCCTCGGGTTAAAACTGACGTGCACACCTCAGAACTGGAAAAGACAGTGGGTTGGAGATTCCTGATGTCGAAGGCTGGAATGAGCACGTTTGTCAGTGTGTCCCCTAACTTAACACTTCCCAGTTTTTCCCTTATAAGCTTGTGAAGGTATTTTCCATCATATCTCGGTCCTGTGATACCATTGATCAGTTGGCGGATTCCGGCGAGCGGGCCCCTGGTTCCACAAATTACGATGTATCAGGAGGCCGATGTAAGACATACTGAGATCATATAAACGACAACCAGGAATTTTCCGTGCTGTAATCCCGGTAGTTACCCGATCTGGGGGAAAATCTTAGGGCAGTTCTCAAGGTAGAAGTCCTTGATATCTTTGGCGGCTAAGATGGGGCGATTGTGTTCATTGGGAGCCGTCAGCATGGCCGTCACGAGGCCCCCGGTGCTTGTCCCTGCAATCACGTCGAAGTAGTCTGCGATCTTCGCATCCTCCCCGTCGAGCTCCTGTCGAAAGTAAGCGGAATGAATCTACGCGTGAGAACAGCCCGGCAATGTTGAGAATGGATGGCCAATGTCTCCCTACTCAATACATCCGTAGGAAAAAACGAGAAATAATGAAAAAAATTCGAACGATGCATGCATTCGGTGGTGTTCTCCAAATTTTTAACGACGTGTCTGAAAGTCTTACTAATCAGTATTTTTTAGTTAACTGCGAAGAATGAAGACTATGAATTTATAGGTTTTTGGTATGAATGCATCTGGGAGAAGTGCCGCTCGGTTGGACGCCGTGGAACAGGCATCTGCTCTTTCTTTAACATACCTGAAGTTCTTTCTCCAGGAAGGCGAGAATGGTAGCCGGGATGATGCCTCTGACACCGCCTCCGTCTATGCTGAGGATGGTGATCAAGTTGTCGCTGACCGCCGGCTGAGTCACGGAGCTCTCGGCGATGGAGCCCATGAAGATGGTGTGGGTAACTCTTACAGAGACCAGGAAGAGGAAGAAAAAGAAAAAGGTATCGAACGAAAGCCCCAACGAAAGACGAGGACTCTGAGAAAGAGAAGACAAAGAACCAGGACAACAAGTGGACAAAGAGAATAGAATGAGAAGAAAAGGATTGGTTGCTAGTGCTTGTATGTTTTGAAGCGCTGTTTAGGCAGGTTTTATATATAAGAGGGATGGTTTTCGGACGAGGAACGAACGTTCAGAGATTGGCGGCTGCGTCAAAGAAAATCCTCCGGTCAAGGACAAGTTTGACTGAGTCACTCCTTGCTAGGTCTACGACAACAAGGCAGGATGGGATTGACCTTGCCACGCGCTGCACCCTCCGAGGCTTTGAAGAAATAGAGCTTGCTTGCGTTAAAACGTAGCAATCCGATAGAAAGCGCGTGTTTGAATCCTTACACGGTCCAACCTTCGGCGGTTTTATCCATAGGAGTAAATAAGTCGCTTCGAGTCCCTGTGGACTTGGCCCGGTTTTCTCCCATCTTAAGATTGAAAGCCAAATTATAGAAAAGTAAACCGTGTTTTTCTCGTTTTTCCTCGTATATAAAAACTTAGTGCAGACTGAGAAGTCCATCAAAGTGTAGTTCTCCACGTAGGCTGGGTTTACGTCTCTCTCTCTCTCTCTCTCTCTCTCCCCTTCATTGCCGATTTGTCACAATATTGATCCGTGTTTAAAAGATTTCCTAATGTTCTATTCTGTATGCTACATAATGCATTAGGACTTGCAATATCTGTTACTTCATTTTATTTTTCGTTAAGAGCTTCACTTCAAGCTCTTTTTATTTTATTTATTTTTTGTTGTTAACTTCTCTCTTTTTTCTGGGATATTATAAATTTGTCAAAGCTCATATCTCTTCTAATTATGAACTTGGGTGACTAAAAAGTCTTACACAACAACCAACCCATCTTCACATGTTTTGTTTGTACATTTCCTATAAAATCGTTTTTCATCACCATTGGCTCTAATCTAACACTTGTCACATAAAATTATATGAGATAACAAAAATTTTGAGGTGAAAATAATCTACAAGGAAACTAGGACCATGCCATTTTGAAAAATTAGTTTGATGGTTGCGGACAAAGATCATTTATTAAAAAGTGAATTTTTTTAACAACTTTTAAAAACTTAGTAATATCTTTGATAGACTTGATTGAGACAAGATACGTCTTACTTTATCTAAGAATGTCATGTTCAGAATTTGTAACATTCTCATGTTGTGGGGTAACTATTATAACACAATGCCAAATAATGTCTCAATTGTTGTAAGACTTATAAAAAATTTAAAATGAAAATGGTATAAAATTATCAATATTGAGATGGTTTCTTTTCTTATTTATGTATTTCACTACTTGAAGGAAACCAACATCTCACTCTTTTTCTTTAAAAAATATATCAAGATTTTCCTTGAAAACTTAGATGTAAATCTTAACAAATAACTTGCATCACCATTACAAACAACTAACACATGACTTCAAGTATTATAATAGATGGCATCCACAATATCTCTAGTATTGGAGAATATAGTAATAAATTTATCTTATACTATTCGTGAAATATAAAAGCATTACAATAAATTATTTTCATTGTTTTTTGACTAGTAAGTTGGCATTGGTTATCCATCTGCAACATACCTTCTTAGTCATGTCATCCAATTGCATATGTCATAATTAAATAAACTTATATGAACTTTGACATTCCCCATTTTACCAAATTGATTTCGCTAGCTTCGCACTCTCACAATAATTAATATATTTGATCTTCACCATGAGATTTAAGTAATGACCATTTAAACTCAATCGAGTTTTGAGAAACCTTGATATCTAGTAAAAGGATATCCACGCACTGCCAATCCCTAATCTGGGTACCAATAAGGTCATTTTGGATGTATATAGAGGCACTTCGGCACAGATAGCTTCTATAACAAAGTACAAACGAAATATTCATATAAAGGATCAATAAGTTTAAGAGTATTAAGGATTGATCCTAATCATCTACTTTAGCATAAATATTTTAGGATATATGAAAATCTGAATAAACTTGTTCATAAAATTGATAATTCTTGTTTCTCTTTTCTTGAGAAAAATGACAATTGTAGGTTTGTATACAACAATTTATGAGATACTTTGTTATAACCTTTGTCTCATACTTGAGCTATAATTTCACCATGATGTCTTCATCAACAACTTCTCATAAACTATCATCGTCAAATTCAAATGAATCATAGCAAGAGCACTCTGTATATTCTCTTCTTTATCTTGATGTTTTCACAGAGATGGTAGAGCTTTGTTATCTCCAACTGACTACTTCAACCCTTGGTAGACTAATATTGAGTTTTTTTTGTTGTTGAAATTCTTCATTTTCCATCAAACACTTCAATGTCAAATTTCATTACTGACATAGACATTATTTCCACCAATGACATACATAAATCAAACCTTAAGTAAACTCTTGAATTAAATTATTTAAACTAATGACCACTTTGACTTTCAAACTGACACCCACTTGATTGGCATAATTGGAACGAAATAGAGGGAATATTGATCAGCTCACACCGACATAAGAAAAGGATTTATATGGTTTCAAGGCTGCCCTCTTATGTCCATAGTCAATGATGACAATGACCTTCCCTAGATGTGAAGAAGTTTACAACAGATTCTCACCACCATAGCCCAAAATAATAGGTAGCAGCTCTCCTCTTGAAATTTAAGCAACAATTGGCGGCTCTCACTTGTAACCAGCAAGAGAGGCAGCGGCTCTCTCTTCTTCCACTAATAAGACATATAGTGGAGCCTCCCCTACTCAACCAGCAGCCACTCTCGATACCTTGTTTCATTCTTATTGCAGCAGCCCGTTCAGTCAGAATGGCGGCCCAATCCAGTCAGAACCGGTCTACGAAAATGGACCCGTTCTCAAGTCTGCGCATTTGTCTTGCGCGTGAAGCTGACCAAGACCTCGCTCCCACGTCCTCCCATTCAGGAAATGAAACCACAGCTCGTTGACCACGGACGAGAGAGATAAGCATGAGGGCCTGCCATTCATCAGATATGGGGGTATCTCAACATCTTCCTCTCGGGTCAACGGACATCGACATCGCAAGCGCGTAACCTCGAGTCGTCGGTCTCTGCATCGTGGCTCCTACTTCGTTCGTAGTTGCATATGACGGTAGCGCCGCCATGGATTCACAGAGTGATATATGTGCGCGAGGAGAGCTTTTGACCAGAGACGGCGAGCTGAAAACTAAGAAGAAGATGGCGCCCCTTAGTCATGGCAACTTAACTCGCCCACCTTTATCGCAGCAGCCCATTCAGTCAGAACCGGTCTACGAAAATGGACCCGTTCTCAAGTCTGCGCATTTGTCTTGAACGTGAAGCTGACCAAGACCTCGCTCCCACGCCCTCCCATTCAGGAAATGAAACCACAGCTCGTTAACCAAGGACGAGAGAGATAAGCACGAGGGCCTGCCATTCATCAGATATGGGGGTATCTCAACATCTTTCTCTCGGGTCAACGGACATCGACATCGCAAGCGCGTAACCTCGAGTCGTCGGTCTCTGCATCGTGGCTCCTACTTCGTTCGCAGTTGCATATGACGGTAGCGCCGCCATGGATTCACAGAGTGTTGGATGTGCGCGAGGAGATTTTTTGACCAGAGGCGGCGAGCTGAAAACCAAGGTGAAGAGGACGCGCGCCTGGCCATGGCAACTTAACTCGCCCACCTTTATCACAGCAGCAATGTCATAAAAAAGAAGCTCGTGGAGCGTCGCCCCAACCCGAGCACCCAGGAATAGAAAGGTCTGTAATCTTTCAGGAGGAACAGAGGAGACGACGAAAGAGAACAAACAGAGGTGCCCAAGAGCCGGAAGGAGAGAGCAGCACGGCCTATAGGGTGGGTGAGAGAGAGGGGAAAGGGGGGGGGGAAAGATTCACAGTCGGAGCATCCCTCCGCCGCGCCTCTTCAGTGGGAGTGGGAGTGGGAGTCGGAGCGGTAGAGGTGGTTGTAGGCGGCCTCGCCGACGAGGTAGACGCCGAAAGCAACGATGGCGATACCGAGGCCGGGGGTGGCGTGCCTGAGCTGGTTCGTCAGCATCGGGTGCTTCCTCCACTCGTCCCTCCTCTTGAAGAACTCCCCAGTCTTCCCCAGCGGTTTCGCCATGCCGCTATGACTGTCAAGCAAAGTGCACCCACAGAGTCAGTTCGTCAATGAGGTCTGGCTCAAACACGCGGGCAAATCTAACGAAAAGGAAAGAGGGATGCAATAAGAGAGATATTCGGCACAAGTTGGGGTCACATGAACACATGAGATCACTGGTTGCACAAGCTGTAGGCATAAGCCCAAAAGCTTGCCCATTTTATAATTCAGCGGCTAACTTATAGGACAACTTCGATCAGTAGACTGATCAGACTGACGCAACGTTGTAGAATGTGGCAGAGGGTGCCGATACAGACCGCCTCATAAACCAGATATCTCATCGCATGCAGAATTATGTAACCCACATGAATCCAGGTATCTGTCTGATTTGTTTAATCTTTCAGAGTTTGAATTGCACGGATGAATTTGGCCACAGCAGGGGAAACAGGATCCGGTGCAGAACCCATAATTAAAGTCTTATAATGCTTTCTGGATCCTAGAACAGGAAAATCAGCAAGCCAGAAAAAAAAAATGCCTTCTTCACCCAAGCGGACAGAAAGCTGTACGATGAACTCAAGGAGTGAAGAATGAGAACCACCTTAGGAAATGCCGGAAAGTAACTTTCTGATCCATATTTGGAAAAACTGATGGACAATGTGTGTCCTACAGCGTGAGCCGAAGGGGTGCAGGGGCGGAGCAAAGATGGTCTGCCAGCAAGAAGTTTTAGGAACCCCAAGATGCTGATGGGCTGAGGTGAAGGCAATGTTTTCCTTGGATTACCTCAATGTAGGAGGTCGAAGACCTCGTGCACTTTGTAAGACTGTTGTCAGGGTTGACTCATGTCAATTGCTTGGGGCTCTCCCTTGATATACAGATCGTCGCAGCCGGCGACCAAGTATCCAGCTTCCACAGTGCAGAAAGCCAAGCCTTGCCCATTTTTATTTGGTTACAGGAAGGCATATTGATTTTTTTCCATGTAGTCTTAGTCAAAAAAATTAGCGAACAGGCCACAGGAGGAAAAGGTATATTGCATCGGAATGGCTGCAGCACGGCTGAAAGAGAGATTCAAGAGGCAATGTCTACGAGCTCTGGCCCTGACAAGCGAAATTCGAATCGAGGAAGATCCCACGGCTTCCCCGTCGTGAAGGCGGAGAATCCCACCGTGGAAGCCCATCCCACGGAAAACCCCCGCGATGAACCCGACAAGAGGGCAAAGGAACCGAACAAGATCTCCATGACTGAAGCTGTCTCAGGAACCGCATAAAATTGGGGCAACACAACTTTTGGGCGTAAAATCAAGGCACTGACCATGCCTATCCAAATCCCACCAATCTCGGATCCCTCTGCATTCCGGACCATAAGCAACCCCGAACCAGAGAGGATTTCGACAATAATCGCAAGATCGGGAAAAGACTTATCGTTTCTTCACTTCACCGTGATGTAGATTCCAAACAAATACGATCTCCTCGATCTACACCAGAAAGGAAATAGAAAAGTGGACTGACCTAGGAGGATCGCGCCCCCGCCGCCGCTACCGGAGACTCCGGCGAGGATCAGATGAAACTAGGGCAGGCGCCTTGAGAGGTAAAGACGAACAATAGACGGAGAAGATGGAGAAGATGGAGAAGATTAGACCTGTTGGTTTATCTCTAGGGCTGCCAGTCCTTGCCCGGTTCGAGGCCCAAACCGGGGTACCGATTCATCCCGGTTCGATAGGACATGAACCGGACTGCCCGGCCACTTCAGCCATCGGAAAGAGGGGCTCGCCGGAGGAGGCTCGCCGGCGGGCGGAAGGAAGGCGTCGGTCTGGGAGGCGAGGAGAGAGTAGCAGAGGTTTTAGACTTCGTCTTTCATCGAAGGCAGAGATTATTTCTCCGGTGGAGTAACAGCAGGATGGCGTGCCGGAGGAGTCGACGGAGGGAGCACCGCCGGAGGACCCGGCGTCTCTGATGCCTGCTGGTGCTTCGTCGATCTACCTATCTCATCCCGAAAAACGAACTATACGAGTGGACGGTGTTGGATGAGAGGGAAAACGAATGAGTGGATGATGGTATCTGACAGATGAAGGGGCCGTTGTTGAGCTAACGCTCGTGATGGCGCGACGGTGGAGGAGGACGGGAGGTGGATCTTTGTCCTCGGCGAAGTAGGAGGTTGATCTTCAGATAGCGCCGTCTATCGATGTTCTGTCACGGAGGGGAGCGACTCTACCATATCCGCTTTTCGTCGAGTCCTCTAGGGGGGGATCACGGGTTCCCTCACGCCCACAGCACTGCGTCATCCCCAAGCTTTTGCCCATTATGAGCTTTCTCTTTCCTCCCCACCCCCGCTCAACGTAAACTTCTTCTCGCCCTCTCATCCATGCAACACGAAGCTCAACTTGACTGCCCTTCCTCTCTTTTTTTCTCCTTTTTGTCTCTCCTCACAAGTCGACGCTGCTCCGCCGTTTCGTGTCGTCTGGTCACGGCCGATTTAGTTGTCCCTAGCCGCAGCCGCCAGACCTCCGTAAGGTCGGTTTGCGAGAATTCCATGGCGAGTACACGGCGGCTTCAACTCCGACGCTCAGGAGTCCTGGGATAGACTTTGGCGCGGTCGTCCCGTGAGTCCCCTAAATTGGAAAGCCGTGATCAGCCACAAACTTTTTGATCGCGACGGTCTCCCCTCGGTTCCGCAGAACTCTCGCGAAGAGAGAGAGACACACACACACACTAGTCGCCGGAGGTATTTAGATTCTCATGGCGGGAGGAGTGTCATTTCTGGCGGTTGAGTTCCCTGATTCGGCGTACAATCCAAAGATCCGCACTGCTGAGTTCCTCGAAAGGGCTTCCCTTCTGCGGCAAGTACGATGAGGTCTGTAAGGTGGGTTTCTTACCTCCGTCTGTCCTAGTTCGTCGCTGCAGCGTCTGCCCGGACGAGGGCTTACTTGGACTCTATCCCCATTAATTTCTCAGGTTCGAAGGAGATCTCGAAGACACAAGGTCTCCAAAGGGGGCAAGCTCGGGCAAGCTCGATGCTGGGCTTGTTAAGCACCGATACAGCTTGGGGGGAACAAGATTACCACTATCGGCGACCTCCTCCAAAGTCTTCCCAGACAAGCCCCACAAGTCCCTGAAAGAGAAGATGTTGTCCCGGGTGCTCTCAGAGGACTACGAATCCGACAGGCTCGAGAGGAAGATCCTGGACCCCCGAGGCCCCACCATTCAGAAGTGGAACAAGATATTCCTCGCTGCGTGTTTAGTCTCCCTCTTCGTCGACCCCCTCCTCTTCTACCTCCCAGGCACCAGGGAGGAGGAGTGCATATACATAGCCATCCCCCTGGAAGTTGCCCTCACGACGATACGATCGCTGGCGGACGTCTTCTACGTGATCCAGATTTTCGTTCGGTTTCGAACTGCATTCATCGCTCCGTCCTCTCGAGTATTTGGGAGAGGCGAGCTCGTCATCGATCCCGCGAAGATATCCTCGCGGTACCTGTCCAAGGGCTTCTGGATAGACCTCTTCACCGCGCTGCCACTCCCCCAGGCATTCCTCTGCATTAAAACTATTTTCTTTTTTCTCTCTCTCCATTCTCTCATGCTCTTCAACAACACTAAATCCTTGTGTTTCAGTTTCTAATATGGGCAGTGATTCCCAACCTCAAGGGTTCCATGATCACCAACACCAAGAACATCCTACGTTTCAGTATCATCCTCCAGTACATCCCGAGGCTGTTCCTGATCGTCCCCCTCTCGTCGCAGATCGTGAAGGCGACAGGGGTTCTCACTGAAACCGCCTGGGCCGGGGCTGCCTACAACCTCGTACTGTACATGCTCGCAAGTCATGTAAGATGAGGATCTAACACAGCCGTTTTAGCCTGAGTATCGTTGAGCTTCTCTTCCAGCTTCCCTAATTTCATTAACCATAATATTCTTAAGAAATACATACGCACATTATAAACTAAGTCTGTATCTTCTTCTTCATCTTCAAGATACTTGGATCGTTATGGTATCTCCTCGCGATCGAACGCCAGGAATCATGTTGGAGAGCAGCGTGCAATCTTCAGAGCTCGGGATGCAAGTACGGCTACCTGGATTGCCGCAACATCAACAAGCAAAGGGAATCGTGGTTTCGATCGAGTAACCTTACGATTGTATGCAATCCAAGTAACTCCTTCTATCAGTTTGGGATCTATGCCGACGCTATCAGCTCCAGCATCACCTCTGCCTCCTTCTTCCAAAAGTACTTCTTCTGCTTCTGGTGGGGCTTGAGGAACCTCAGGTACGAACTGTCGTCTCTCGGTCCCGGAGACGAAAACCCTAGTTCACCTTGAAAGCTAATGATTTCGATTTGTCTCCGCGAAGCTCTTTGGGCCAGGATCTCATGACCAGCAATTACGTCGGGGAAATATGCTTCGCTATTGTGATATCCGTTCTGGGTATGGTGCTCTTCGGTTTGCTTATCGGCAACATGCAAGTAAGTGCCGTCTTAAAATTTCCAAAAATGGGATGGTCCTGAATCCTTCCCGTGGGGGAACAGAATGGAGGGTTGACGTTGACTGTCCGGGTTCGTGGTTCTTTTGCGCAGTCGTATCTCCAGTCGACGACTGCCCACCTGGAAGAATGGAGGACCAAGAGGACAGACACGGAGCAATGGATGCGGCATCGGCAGCTGCCGCCGGAGTTGAAGCAGAGGGTGCGCAGGTACGACCAGTACAAGTGGATGGCCACACGAGGGGTCAACGAGGAGTCTCTCCTGGGAGGCCTCCCCATGGACCTTCGCAGGGACATTAAGCGCCACCTTTGCCTTGATCTGGTCTGCCGGGTAAGATACACTGACTGACACAATATCACCTCCCTTATCCCTCCATTGCGGTACCCCAGGATTGCCGTGATTTATCTGAAAGAACAAAGAGCAGGTGCCGCTGTTCGACCAGATGGACGAGCAGATGCTGGACGCCATATGCGAGCGGCTGAAGCCTGCCCTGTACACCTCCGGGACGTGTCTAGTCCGCGAGCTCGATCCAGTTAACGAGATGCTCTTCATCATCCGGGGCTACTTAGACTCCTACACCACCAACGGCGGCCGCACGGGGTTCTTCAACTCTTGCCGGATCGGGCCGGGAGACTTCTGCGGGGAGGAGCTTCTGACGTGGGCCCTCGACCCGCGGCCCACCGCCAGCCTGCCGTCGTCGACGCGCACGGTCAAGGCCATCTCGGAGGTCGAGGCCTTCGCTCTCGTGGCAGAGGACTTGAGGTTCGTCGCCGCGCAGTTCAGGAGACTGCACAGCAAGCAGCTGAGGCACAAGTTCCGGTTCTACTCACTCCAGTGGCGTGCGTGGGCAGCATGCTTCATACAGGCCGCTTGGCGGCGGAGCCGGAGAAGGAGGGCTTCGATGTCGATCGATCTGCGGAGAGAAGACGTGGTCGCCGCCTCATTCCATCCTCCGGAGAAGAAGCCGCTGAAGTTGATGCAATCTCGTGTTGCTCCAGGGCATCATCGTCTGACGCCGACCTCGAGGAGTGGCTCCAGAGAGCGCCGAGGCTCGGACTCGAGTGCAGTCAATTCGTCTCTGCAGAAGCCCGCCGAACCCGACTTCTCCGTCGAAGAAGGTTGAGCCCGAACCCCTACCCTGGTCTGCCACTACGATTCGCCCCTCCACCTTCTGATGATGGTACATTAGCGTAAGAGTCCAACGAGGTGACGCTGTAAGCTATAGACGACGACGTTGATCATAGTATCGTTGCTCTTATTATGGGGAAGTATTTGTTGGAAAAATAAGAAGGAAACGATTGCATGGGCAGTGGGATTGGATTGTTTTTCCGCGAGACGATCATCCCAGACTGGATGCTTCGGATGTGTGACGTCGGCGCTGAAGGAAACAGGCCATTTAGTTTCCCTCCTTGTTCAATGACCCATGGCCCGCCGTACCCAAAAAAATTGCTGGTCGATGCCGGGGGGCATCGTACGGAGAAAGTGAAAGACCACCTTATTGCTTATAATTGTGAACGGAGATGTTGACCTTGTGGAGCCCACCGCGGTCGGAGGTATGGTGTAACTACGCAGAGTCTCTCAAGTGGTTGCACCAGTAAAATAGAACTGCAAAAATAGACTCTACTCCCCACCTTTATTGATTGATCAACAAGACTACGTCAAGTCCATTACTTGACCGGCCCATATGGCCCCCCTCTCTCTCTCTCCCTCCCTCACCTCGTCGCTTCTCTACCGGTGCTACCGCACATTCGTTAGGCGTTATAATAAGAATGATAATCTAAAACTAACATCATGAGAGGAGAGAGAGAGAGAGAGAGCGGAGGCGGGAGGGATAAACCAAGAACCACACATCATGAAGAAGTAAGTACAAAGATACATTGAGAAAAGCTCACACAAATGGCTGGAAAGTGAAGATAACAAGCTAAAGTGCGAGCGACGAGCGGGGAAACTCTCGGCGTCGCCCATGGCCACAGGACCGATGGTTGTCGCCGGCAACACATTGGTTGCTCACGTCCCACCGCTTCCTCCCGGCAGAGTTGTTCTTATTTCTTGACCGGAAGACAGCGCCGGCGACGCGCGGGCCCGAACTCAGACGTTGGGATTGCTGCGGAAGGAACCCAGGGCTTTGATGGCCCCAGCCCGGAGGAGGTACTGATGGTAGATGGCGGCGATTGCTGCACCAATGAAAGGCCCAACCCAAAAGATCCACTGCACACGACCAATCCACCAAAGGATAAGATGAACAGCCCAGGAATGAATTATTTAACAAAGTAGCTATGCAGATATCAATGTTATCAACATCAACGATATGACCAATCGGGGTGGTGGGCTCACCCCTGCTCATAAGCGTTGCCATCGACAGAAGCCACCAAGGATGGCTTGTACTGCCAAAGCTAGAATCGAAGCATATTCCGGCATGGATAATATTAAAATAAGAAGGCTGACTCCAGCAGGGCTAGCGGCGGCTGCGGTAGGTCAGCCTTCGTATTCCGCCATGCGGATAGGCACGGGCCAAGAAGAACTACGGAGCTGGAACATGGGGAAGAAGTAATATCGAGCGCAGCAGGAGGGTAGATGAAGATGATGGGAATCGACGGCTTCTAGATGCCTAGGGCTTCTAGATCCCATTTAAGCAGTCGTTGAGGTTTTGAGTATGACTGAACGGGCAGGGGACTACGAAGCGAGTGCGAGGATAGAGAAACCTACCTGGTCGTCCCAGGCCTTCTCGTTGTTGTAGATGACGGCGGCTCCGAAGCTCCGGGCGGGGTTGATACCCGTGCCGGTGATGGGGATGGTGGCGAGGTGCACCATGAACACCGCGAACCCGATTGGGAGAGGAGCCAGCACCTGCAGCAATGTCGACGTCAGCAATGTCGAATATCACATTTGTTGTAGTATTCTGTGTAATTGCGGAAAAAAATTGATAGAAAACGCAGGCGAGGGGGCCGTGCAGATATTACACGTGGAATTACGGATAGCGATTGTGCGTTGTCATCCGAGTGCCGAACCCCACCGATGCACCCATTAATTATAATTGTATTCGGCTTATCTTCTCGATCAGTCTACTAACCCGGTTAAGGATGAGGAGGAAAGCAGGATAGCGGAGTGGAGGGTGGAGGAGAAGGTGACGTCACATGCGGGAGGGACAACTTGGGTCTACTTCTGCACCCGACAGCTGGCGCGGGCAGCCTCCATCCCGGTGAATCTACTACGATATCTTACCGCAGAAACTGTGATGTGACGTGACATGAGACGAATCCCCTCACCTCTGCCTAAGTTATCCCCCCCGCAGCCGCCGGCGCCCCCGGCAGCTCCACCAATCGGGGAGTGCTCCATGAGACCAGGCGACGGCGGTGCAATATGAGCTGAGATAGATGGAGAAGTAGAACGAAACGAGAGGGATTACCGGGACGTGGGAGTCGCGGGCGTTGCGCTTGGGATCGGTGGCGGAGAAGACGGTGTAGACCAGGACAAAGGTACCGATGATCTCCGCCCCCAGGCCAGTTCCCTTGTTGTAACCTACGGCGAGCTCGTTGGCACCGCCTCCGTAGCGGTTATAAAAGGCCTTTTGAAAGCCCTTGACGAGCCCAACGCCGGAGATGGCCCCCAGACACTGCGCCACCATGTATGCGATGGCCCGCACAAGGGAAACCTTCCTCGCCAGGAACAGCCCGAACGTCACGGCGGGGTTGATGTGCCCCCCTGCACCACAAAACGAGCGGATCAGATATGCCGGAGGACGAAAAGCCGGAGCATGAGCCGCAAGGATGGAGGTTCTCCGTGCCTGAGATTCCAGCGGTACAGTAGACGAGGACGAAGATCATGCCACCGAAGGCCCAGGCGATTCCGAGGATACCGACGCCGCCGCAGTTGGCATCCGCGGCGGAGACCTTTGTTTCATCGGTCGAGGATTTGTGGCCGATGACGGTGAGGACGGTCACGTAAAGGAAGAGCAGGGTGGCGACGAACTCGGCAATGAGGGCGCGGTAGAACGACCACTTCTTGATCTCCTGGACGTCGAAGAGGGGCGCCGGTGGCGGGTCCGTGTAATCCTTGGCAGTGAACTCACCGGCCTGCGGCTCCGCCGTCTCCACGTCCTTGCCCATCGCAGCGCCTGCTAAAGAGGAAGTGACACCGAGTATCACAGGCACTGAGCTCTCTCTGTCTTCTCTTCCCTCCTTCGCTATGCAGAGGGAGAGCGGGCTGCCGCGGGTGTATTAATGGGAGGGACGGTGTCGCTAGGAGGTGTGTTCTTGGAATATTTAATTTGCCGACCACGCCGACTAATCGTATTATTTGGCACCCGCACCACGGTGGACCCCACCGCCGTCCTTCCTTGTCACTGTCCAGTAAAACAAGCGCCTACTCCGCCCCCCGGCGGTCGTCAACTGGTCGACTCTCCTCTCTCCTCTCTTCCCATTCCACCCTCGCCGCACCGCAGGCCGGCGCAACGGCCGGCTCCTTCCGGAGGTGCCTCTGCCCTAATCAAGCTGGTCCGATTAAGTTGCTCGGCGCCGTCTTCTTCCCCTCCCTCCCCTGCTATCCCTTCGCCGTCTAGTTGCGCCGAGCCAGGCCGCGGAAACTGGCGGCGTCGGCTTCCGGGGATGGGGTTAGCCCCCTGGCCGTCCTCATTTGTCGTTCTCCGCGGAAGATGGCGTCGGAGGGCGCCGGAATAATCGCGCCACCTCCTTAGCCAGCGCCGCCCGGCCGGCTCAGCTAAGAGCAACGCTTCCGTGCGACGGCGGGGCACTGTGGTGTATGGAGTTGTCGCTGTCGTGGCAGATAGGCGTAGCGCGAGGCGACGTGTCAGTCCGGCACAGGTCGTTGTTTCCACAGCAGAGCGGCTGCCAGCTCCGCTCGCCATGTGAGACGAGGAGATTTTTTTTTCTTCCTCGTGGATGAGGTCGTTTTCTTCCAGAGAATTCTCTCCCTTCCTCGTTTCTCCGAGCAAACTTTACAGGAAAAACTCGACGGATAATTAATCCCTGCCAGTAATCGGAACAGATTACTAACCTACAAATGATTTCCGATTCTATGTTGGGATGAGATGGGTCGGGCCTGTTTTTCCCACAGTGCAGCCCGATTTTTGCAACAAAAAACCTTCAAGGTTCGGCCCGCAACATAATTATGCATGTGCATATTATTTCTGTCAATGTTCCCGTCTCCGATCCCTACCGACCAAGATCGGCATCTTGTCATTGCCAGGTGGTTGTACGAAAGATCATTCACATGCCATCCCGTCTGGCTCTCTCTCTCTCTCTCTCTCTCTCTCTCCCTCTCTCCAGAATGAGTACATAGGGCCCAGCAGCGCATGATCCGGACTCTATGCCAGAGGTGAGACCTAACCATCGCCTTGGGGAACTTTTCTCTATCCCCAACTAGAGTCGCCCTCGGAGACCCGCCCAGGCCATTAGCACCTGGCATGTCCCCCCTATGACCGAGTGACGACCATCTGGGATTTCCCGCCCGTTCACGTGCACAAGGTTGCGGCAAGTCTCCGACGGCTCTGATGTGCCCGACTGAGTGGTCTCGGTGTGCAAGCATCCGAGTCATCTGAAGCGAAGAACTCGATCCGATCTCCGATGGGCTACATGAAAACATACGGTAGAACATCGACGCAGTCGTATGTAGAAATCACACGACATATATGCCCATATCTGTAACTTCGTAGTTACGGAGTAAGATATGAGGATTGAAGCGGCCTACAGTGAGGCATCTTACAGCTGGGATCAGTGGGGATGGGAATAGAGCGACGTTTTCCGTGGACCCACAGGCGCGGTGCGGACATTCGAGGGAGGGTGAAGAAAGGGGAGAGAGAGACAGAGGAGAGAGAGCTGAAGGGCGTCCTGGTGCATGCTATTGGCCGGTTGGAAGGAGATTCCGGGGACCCGTCATAGTCACACTCGGGGGTTGGCGGGGGCGGGGGGGAGGAGAGAGGAGTGAAGCCATTCCCATTAATTACGGAATGCTCACTCATGGCTAATGGGGGACCGCGCAAAAAAGATCAGAGAATGCTTGGAGAGGAATGAGAGATGATTGGAATCCGCCAACGCCACCGCCCAACGGCCCTCGTCTGCTCCCACTCACTCCCTCGTCCTCCTACGTCAGCGTCACTTGATCGGGCCATTCACCCCTCATGTAGCTTCGCAATTCTGATTACCATAGTCCTCATCTCTCATGTGCTTCTTCTCATCAATGAACGCCCGATTCCAAAGCTAAGATCGGGGTGGACAGACTCCTATTCTCCATCCCTATCCTCCTCCCTTCTGTCTGTCTGTCTGTCTGTCTGTCTCTCTCTCTCTCTCTCTCTCTCTCTGCATCGCTGGCGTTCGCAATGAAGCCTCCTAATTAACTTGCAGAGGGGATGCCCACTCTAGAGAGCACGGACCAACGGTGCTAATAACACCAAGAATTGACTCATCTTTTTTTAAGTTTTACCGTAAACCGTCATCAAGACGATGATTACCATTAATTTGGACCGGCCCTCGTGGACGGTCGGAGCGGCCGGAGCGGGGCAGCGGACCGCCGCCGGGCGGCGGAGGACGTGGTCGGCGTTGGTGCTGGGCTCCACGGACGCGACGTGTAACTGAAGTAATTGTCAACCGTGGGGCCAACACCCAGAGTGGCCCGCCGACCACCTTCGAATGAGAGGACGATAAACCAACAGCTGTTGCTCTCTGGTGGGTTGAGCTCACTTCATCGGCACATCACCGGTGATGACGCCCGTCCTGACGATACTCTCACGACTGGCAGCGGTTTCGTCCACACACGTCGCACCGACCATTGTATTTTCTGATATATCCAAAAGCAGCACATAATAATATAAGCATCCGATATATTGATATATACATAAATAGTATTCTTCATGTCTCCAACACCAGTCAATACAGGCTCGGGGGTCTTCTTCCATCCGCTCCGTTTTGTGATACAGTGGCAGGTGACGATATCTCTCAGAGCTCAAAGACGAAATTAAGGGGAGTTCCTGGCGCTGACGGTCGCCGATTTACAGGGACCCAAAGCCAAACGGACCGAAATATTTCGTCTTGGAGCATGCAGGCACTTGGGGCCATAAACGGGCCCACAAACGACTCCACCCATTATCGACTGAGAACTGCAATGTCTGGCGCAAACGGCCTCATGGTCTTGCCTGCATCCGAGGGATTCGTGTTGAGATATAGCTCATATATCTTTTGGGTCCGACGAGGACACCTCTCAAAAGGCCTACTAATCCGGGCTGCGACCCAACATGGTGAGAAGAGTGAGAAGGAAGCACCATATTTTCTTCGCTGTTACGTTGAGGGGAGAGATTTTATGATCTCACAAAAAGTGAGAAGGGGGTTATAAATACCAATCCAAATTTTCTATCCTACATAGTTTTTAGAATTAATTTACACAGTATCTTATCTTTCAAGATCTCTCTCTCTCTCTCTTTCTCTCTTGTAGAATAAAGAAGCAGTTAATTGAACTAGGAATTCACATTTTCTTACTGTGTTTTTCCTCTTTTGACTTCTCTTCATCATTGTTTGTCGCTTGTTTGTGCCGATTTTGATCCAAGTGGTTTCGGAACACGGTTATAAACGATAGAAAATAATGAATACTTGTTCAAAATTTGATGTGGAGAAATTCGACAAAACATCTACCTTTTGTGTATGGCACAGCAAAGAGTGAAATACCTGCTAGTTCAGGAAAGCCTGGTCAAGACATTACATGGAAAGTGGACTAAGTCTGCAATGATGACAACTGATGATTGGGACGGCGTAGAGATGAGAGCAGCTAATACATTTGTCTTTTATTGTGTTGGATGAGGGTTCACCTGTAAAAATTCAGAGAAAAATAAAGTGTCAAGTTAAGTCAAAATCTTTTATGAATGCGGTATTCCTGAAACGAAAATCCTATCGGCTTAAAATGTTAGAAGGTTTGATCGTAAAACTCATACAGGTAATTTCAATTATATCATTAGTTAACTATTGAGATTGGAGGTCAACTTTAATGATGAAGATATGGCTTTGATCATCCTTAGTTTTCTTCCCGATTCATATGATCATTCGGTTACAACTTTGCCGTGGAGAAAGAAAACTCTCAATAACGAAGACGTTAAAACAGCTCCTGTAATAGAATTAGAGGAGGCTGAAGTTTGAAGACGCATAAGTCGCAGGACTGATGGCTTAAGGAGGAAAGGACGTGAAAGATAGAGGGAAATATGAAAATCAGAAAAGATAAATAGCAAAGTCAACAGAGAGAAATAAGTCAGAGTTAAGGTCAAAATCGAGAGAAAATTTGATTAGAAATATGGAATAGTTTAAATCCCATTGGAAGAAACATGTGAGGAAAGACTGCCCAAGGTTAAACCTTAAAAACGATTGGGAGAACAACCCTTCCACCTCTGAATTTTTTTTCAAGAAAGGGATCAAAAAACAGTGAAAGTGTATGACACTAATGTTTGTTGCAACATAAAAACTAAGGGTATGCTGTAATGAGAAACGATATGTTATACAAAGTCATTGGAAAAGGTATAGTTAAGGTTAAAATGTTTGATATTACTTTCATGACACTAAGGATGTGAGACATGTCATCTTTGACTTCAGGAATAATTTAATTTCTTTAGAAAAACTCTAGATATGTTGGCCTATCAATGGCGGTACGATATCAAGAAAAGGGATTGAGTTGATATAATTTTCTTTCCTTGGATCAAATATTCAATTTCGAAATAAGAATAATTATAAGCAAAATTATACCAAATTTATAATGGTTTTGTACTCTCGACCTACATCCACGTTTTAAGGATTGTCTTTGAGTTCTATTAAACCTGTGCTTACGTTCTGACTTTCAGCCTTGAGATAATTACAAATCGTTTTTCCAGGGCTCAAGTCTTTTCGGGATCACCTACCACACAAGAGAGAGAAAGCACAAGAAAAAAAGGAGGGCAAGAGCGAGAATAAGCGAGAGAGAATGGGTGTGAGATAAAAAAAAAAGGCTGAAGAAAGATAACGCGCTTGAGAGAGGAGATGAAAGACAGGACGGCGCATGAGAGATGAGAGGAAAAGGGATGGACCGCGGGTGACTGGGACAAAACCCTCCTCTCTTTTTTTTCTCTCTCCTCTTAATGGGCCACACATGGGGCAACGGCTGTTTTCAAATTGATTTCAATTTTATTTTAGGCCCAAGAAAACAGCTCTAATTCAGGCTCAAAAGATAAATCTATCTTATAAATCATTTAGATCCAATAGTAACTTTATTTATCCTCTTTAATCATGAATATAAATTCAGACAAATTTCAACAACTATCTGCTATACCATTATCTGATTTAGTTCTAGAACTACTTTGAATTACATATTCACTTTCACATTTATAGAAATATATAAATGATTATTAATATATCATGGTTATCATCAAAACACTTAAATCATCAATATTCAAATGTGTTTACAATTAACATAGGAAATGGGATCTTGAAGGCTTGTAAATGAGAAATGGTGGTTATGAAAATAAAAAAACAACTTTATAAATATTTACAACTTGTTGCAGAAAACAGATGCAAGTAGAGCTTCATTGGGCACACTTTAAGACTCAACAAAAGATAAAACATTTTAATTGTGATGTTAGAGATTCAATCATATTTGTGAAAACAAATCCAAAGGAGCTTTATAAGAGAAGTCTGTTTAAGATAGTCAGAAAGTTAGATTTTTTGCAAAGATTGTGTTACATGAAAAGAATTCAAGATTTAGTTTTAAAGTACCACCCATAACGGCAAAAGAGTATTGTATAGTACTCATTCAAATGTTTGGGAGCTGTGAGTGTGATATCAAATAATGGATCCTATTACTTTGCAAGTTTTATTGATAATTATTCATGAAAAGTTTTAGTTTACTTCAAGAAACACAAGTGAGAGACATTCAAAAAAAAAATTGTGAAAAAAGGAAAAAATGAGACAGAATACAGTCAAGAACTTGGGAACTAATATTGGTAAAAATTATAAGAATGTATAATTTTTGAAATATTTTGAGGAATGCAAAATTATGAGACACTCAAAATTAAAAAAATATTGAGACTAAATTATGTTCAAGAGAAAATAAATAAAACTATTATATGTAGATTAAGGTGTTTAAGATATCTACAAAAGAATTTTTGGGTAGTGTAAGTAAAGATGATATAGTGTTGTAATTAATTGATTAGTGGTAACTATTTTCTATCAGAATGTTGCTAAAAAATATAGATAGAAAAAAAGGACTTGAAATTGGGTGATATTTAGATGTCCTGATTAATGTTATATTTTCATGTAAAGAAACATTAAAGCTCCACTTGAAACTAATGAGATGTATATTCTTATGGTATGAATATGAAGTTAAGACATTAGCAAGTGCACAAACAATAAGTAGCAGAGATATAGTGTTTGATAAAAACTTACATGTTAAAGATACTTGACGAACTAAAGGGTACCATAGTGAACAAAAAAAAAAATACTAGTAGGGACACCAGTCAACTCAAAGTGGATGAGAAAAAAAAAATCCACTGAAAAAAAAAAAAGTTGAAATCAATGATATTGCCACCAACATAACTTGTTGGACCTCTAATATAAATTTCTAAAAATCACATTTCTTTTGGTTTGATTGGAAGTGAAGCTGATCCCACATCTTTCAAGAGACAATTAATTCTGGAGAAATGAAATGACGTCATAAGAAGATGACATAAGATATAGAATAGCTCATTTAAGGAAATAAAGTGTTTAGAAGTCTTAAAAAAAAAAGGACATATTATAAATTATATGATAAAACTTTAAGACTCAATTAGTAGCCAAAAAATATTCACAAAAAATGAACTTACTACAATAAAGCTTTTTCTCTTATGGTGGAAAAACATATAAATTAAAATGGTGTTATCATTGTAGATAATAAATACATTGAACTAGAGCAACTCGTTATGAAGACCACATTCTTTTACTATGATTTGGGGGAAGTCATTTACACATATCACCTCAAAAAATTTAGGAACCTAGGTTTGAAACATCTTATTTGCAAACTAAATACTTCTTTATAATGTAAAATAATCTATAATCCAATAATATAACAAAATTGATTGTCTCATTTTTAAGTATGATTGTTGAGCTTATGTAAAAAAAATTAAAACTATAATTTTTTTTTAAAATTCTCTATCTGGGGGATATATTGAAATTGACAAAAAGATGAATTATAATATCTTTGTTTCAAAAGAAATTTGAAATCAAGAATTTGGGATTACCTAATAAGAAAATTAATATAATTCTAAATATCTCAGAAGAAATACACTAGGAATGTCCTGAAATTGTTTGGTATGAGTGATGTGTTAGACCCCTAATGGACTTGATGGGCTTAGTTTACACCAAAAGACAAAAGACACACTCTTAGTACCATAAGAGGACTAATAGGGCTCACCTAAAGCTCAACTTAAGAGCTCAACCCTATGGGCTTTAGGTAATTTGATTGGAAGGAAGATAAAGGAGATTTGAGGGAGGGCAAAAAAAAAGGAATGAGTAGAAGAAACAAATTGGCAGAAGGAGAAACAGAGGCCCTCTCAAGTGAGAGTCCATCTCTAATATCTCTATCTTTCTTTTCCATATCTCTTACCATCACAATCAAAGGTTTCTATCATTTGTATCATGTTGATTCAATGGCACTCAAAATAAATTATGGTAGGCCGAAAACTCTAGAGAAAAAAAATGAAGTAATTCATGAGGTGTTGTGGTGGCTACCACAAATAGAGAGCCATCTACAATAATAAAATGAAGTGGAAAATAGTGTGGAAGAATTGGGCAAGGAATGAAACAAATGGTGTAGGCCATGAAGGAGATGTGATGCATAACCACTAGACAAGAAGATTTGATGCCAAAAGGAAGAATCTAGTGAGACAAATTATATTTTCTATGAAACAAATTATTTGATATAGAGAAATTGATGACAACATGAATGAGTTTTGAAGATGAGACATTAATGTGGTTCCATTGGACTGTATCTAAGGATTCCTTATGAAGTTGCAAGAACCTCAAATAACAATTATTGAAAAGGTTTAAAACATCACAAGGTAGAAGAATTTAGACTCAATAAATTGATCTCAATCATAAAGACAACTCAATGAGTAGAGAAAAGAAATAATGTCATTAGGACATCTCTTAAATCATGAGGTTTCAAGTCAATCATTACCCCTTCCTAAGACTGTATTAACTGTATTAACTATGAAATAAATGTTGTTATCACAACATTCAACATGAAGATAATTAAAGACAACTCAATTTGGCTTAGGTAGAAATTCTGGCTTAAAGAGTTAAATGTCTTTATTATTCATAAGATGAGGAACACAATTCATGTTATAAGTGTAAGAGGGAGATTCAAATACTAATGGTATATGGAAAGAATCATAAAATAGGAGAAAATTTAGAAGCAAAGATCATAAAATATCTTGACAAACTTGAAGATCCAAAGACATAATGGAGGGACTGTAAGAAGAAAAAAAAAAGAGAGTTGTTAATCAATTATGTTATGCACTTAAGATATGATAATTCATAATTTTATTTCATATGAGTTGAACAACGAGCTACAGCCACCTTCTATGTAAACCATCAATTATGGAACTATCATAGGTAATAGAGCTATTGTCAAAGAAAAAACTATATGTAAATGTGTAATTATAAAGATATTGTACATGAAAATGGTAGAACACTATCTCCTTATTAAGTTGAATGATATGTATCCTGGACATGAAACAATTAAAGATGTTGAAAACTATAAAAGACAATGAGGGATAGTTGACAATAAAGTTCACCATGGTCAAGACTCAAAAGGTATTAAAAGCAGACCTCAAATTTATATTTACTTAAACTCTTTTGGTTGAGAATTACAAAAACAAGAAAATAATCATCAATGAACTTCATCACATTTACTATGAGTTTGAGGCGAAAATTCACAATAATCTGATCAATAATGTTACAACAACTCATGATCAAATACTTAAAGGTGTTTAAACAAGTTAGATAATTACCCTCATACCAACATATTGAACATGATATTTTCTTAGAGCCAAAGACTAATTCTATGGAATATATAGTCTCATGAAAACTGAGTAGGAGTTAGAAATATCAATTTTAATTTGTAATCTTCCATAATTTTTTAAATTAATCTTCATGGTCTCTTATCTTTCAAGATCTCTCTCTCTCGCTCTCTCATGGAGAAATAGTTGGCTGCACTCTCTCTCATTGAGTTCTTGACTCTCTATTCAGAATCTTCATTTTATCACTGTTTGTTACCTATTTGTTTGAATTCGATCCAACAATTTGGGCAGAAATCGAGCCTCCCATGGACAGGTTTTTGGGAGGAACAACAAAATATTATTAGCATTGCTATAACAACCTCCCCACTCGTTTCACATGGGCCCAAGAGTTGAACTCAACCCTACAAGATTCTAAGATTTGTAAACATCTTACGCAAGCATATTGTAACACCCTCACTTGGAGGAACAAGGTTCTGGATACATGACATCCCCGCCATCATGATGAGGCCGGGTAGCTGTGTATAAGCACATGCACGTCGGCACAATATGGCATGGCTTGGTATGTGCAGAGATCAATGCCACATATGTACACATGTTGGCATAACATGGCACAACGCAGCATGCACGACATGTATGTGCATACGAAGGCAAGTGACAGGACGAAGCTATGGTGCTGCGAGTATATACAACATGGAGGGTGTGCCAGCGGTAAGCAATGTGAATTTGACTTCTAAAGATACTACATGCATGGGTGGCACATTAGAACATGGTGGCAGTAAAATGGGGCAAGTAGTGGGAGGCAAGAGTTGTTAACTAGCAACAAACCATAACACTACTAGAAGGGATTTTTATAAGGATAGTCACAAATCCTAGACGATGTAGAAGCATCTCCTACAAAGGGAGGCAACGTAACGCAAACATCCTACAAAGGATATACCATTGCAGAAGAGCAATGAATAGGCATCATTGTGGGCTCTTGAGCACTTGCTCGTATTTGGAGCAATAATCGTGACACTTTCGTTCCTGTAGGGCAATCGGATTGATCCATGAACATCCTTGGGACAGTCACTAGTCCGCAGCCCAACCCTGCCATCTCTCTGAGCTTTATCGGCAGCGACAAACCCCTCAAGACTCCGCTCACACACGAGGTAGATGCACTCCTCTCGTCTTCTAGAAACGAGCCCGCATCACTCTGGCTGGCAGCACGCTTCCGCTGAGACTGCCGTGGAACCCGGAGATTTCTCTGTTCGTCTCATGCCCTGGGCTCTAGATTATGCACTCGGCCAGCTTGACTCCAGCCAGTAAGAGAGAAGATTGAGGGGCGGGACCTATGCAAAGATTTTGCAGAACGATGCAAAATTCATGCGGCTCTACGTTCCCACCGAAAAAAAAGAGAAAAAAAGGAAACCTTTTGTAAAACTCAGATATGAAGTACGGGCCTGGCAGCCGCAGCCGCTCCTGAGGAGGAAGAAGATGGAGAGGTGGGGAGCCAGAGGGCAGACCTTGGACTGTCCAATCCCGCAACCTCCAAAGTGGATGAGTGGACTGGACTGCAGATGATACCCCTCCCCCCCCCTCTCCCCCGGCCAGACTGGGAGCAAGCGGGATCGCCGCTGTGCCTCTGAATGTCCAGCGAGCCGTTTGCATCGAACAGGGACAGAGGCCGAGATGCCGATCCACACCGACCGATATAGAAGCAGTGGAGATTGAGAGCAGATCACCGTCGGCCGCCGTGACGGGCGGCGAGACTTCGAAAAGAAGGGAACATGACGCCGCAAAACCGGCATGAATGTCAATCAAGAAGAACATACGCAGATCCATAGCGACTAGATGCAGGAAAAAGAGATGGATTCAATGAGACTCGAGGTTGGCTAGTTCTCAAAACATGTTTGCCTACAGCAATTCAGAAAACCAAACAAAATGGATCCGGAGCGGAGCGGAGCGGAGCGAATCGAGGGGAGAAGCAGCTTCGTGAGCGGAGCGTTGCTCTATTCGCGGGGCACCTCGACCTCCCCGTCCGCAATCTCATTCTGGAGATCCTTGGGATCCTTACCGTCAACCGAGCAGCCGACGGACACGCAGGTGCCGAGAATCTCCTTGATAGTGCCGCTCAGATCCTTCCCCATGGACCGCGGCCGCATGATTCGGGCGATCTCCACGACGTCGTCGAGGGAGATGTTGCCATTGTGCTTGATGTTCTTCGTCTTCTTCCGGTCGCGCTCCGGTTCCTTGAGGGCCTTTATAACCAGGGCCGCGGCGGAAGGGACGACGGTGACCTTTGCCTGCCGATTCTGCACGGTGAGCTTCACGGTGACGCGGAGGCCCTTCCAGTCCTTGGCCGTCTCCTTGGCGATGTCCTCACCGATCTTCTTCGGGGAGAGCCCCAGGGGCCCGATCTTCGGGGCGAGGGAGCTGGCGGCGCCGACTTCGCCTCCGGTGACGCGGACGTACACATCGACGACCTGGGAGGGGTCGAACTTGGGAGGCATCGCGGGCACGGCAACTAGGAGGCGGCGGCACGGGGGGAAGGGGGGCGGTGGCGGCTAACGCGCGGGAGGGGGGGGGGGAGAGGGGGATGGAGGTATAGGCCCGAGGAGATTTTAGGGTTCCCAGCGGCCATTACCCTGGGGGCCTGGGCCAAAGTAGAAGATAAATGGGGCCTATTGGGCCTGTTAAACTTTCTTGTTAATGGGTCGACACGTAAATGGGCCGCGTGCAAAAGCGGCTCGTAGGGTCGTAGCGGGGCCAATGGGATAGAGCAAAAAAGGAGAAGGTGGGGCCCACTGAGGCTGCTTCTCTGGCGCAGTCGAAGCGCCGCGAAAGTCGGCACTTGTCTGGCAAGTTGTCCCACTATGCGACACGTATGATAGCATGATTGGCCTCGCTTAATCCACCACAATTTGACGATCATTTGTCGCCGCCAAACTGCGCCGGTTCCCCCCGTCGCCGTGAGGCGGCGCTAGTCGGTCCGCAGTTGGCCAGCCCCCCCGCCGTCCCACCTCCGTCGCCGTCCCCCACGATGCAGTTAGTCGCACGGGGGAGTTCCGCACGTGCGAGCCGGTCACCTCTCCTTACTCCCGCTGGGCGCGGCGCTCTAGTTCCGACACGTAGCGAGAAGAGAGAGGGAGAGAGAGGGATTATTGCTCGTACTAGCTGTATTGTACGGCAAGAAATTAATAAGGCAGTACGCGGGGGTTAAAGAAATCTCCGCGTCAGAGAGGAAGCGGTGCCTGAGGAGCACACGTGACCAGAGGAGGGGGGGCGTGCGGGGCAACCCTCCGCCAGAATGCGTGCATGGGGTTGACCCGCCGCCACCGCCGCCGCCCACCCTGTCTCCTCTGTCTGAGGGGCGTTGGGAAACTGAGCGAGGTGGAACGAATCTGCAGGTCATCGTCTGCCCTTCGCGGCTGACCGACTGCCAGCTTGTTCACAGCTCCGTGACGGACGAGGAGACTGTAACTGGAAACGGATAAGCTCACACTTGAAGAGAGAACCCGACTAACCACCACCCGGGGCGTCACTCTCCCTCTCTCTCTCTCTCTACTCAATACTACCCACTACCCGGGGCGTCGTTGCAGTCACTCTCGCTTGTCTTTAGCTTTAACCCCGTCTCTCTCTACCTTTCTAGGGTACCGGGCATCCGGCATCTCTCTCTAATCGCTACCCTCTGCGCGGTGTAGGCAGAGGAGGAAGGGAGGAAAAGGAGGAGCGAGAGAGAAGCGCCGTCTGGCGTATCCTCGACGAACCAGCCATCGACAGATCAGATCACCGCCCGGCATAATACAAAGGCCCGAGTCGATACCGGCGGGTCTTCTCGCGCGCTGGCCGAGGCCGAGGAAGACCACAATTATAGGTTACACTTCCTCTCTCTCTCTCGCTCACCCGCTATCATAGACGCACATGAAGGCGGGCCGTTGTTTTCCTGGGTATGCATGGGGCTCTCTCTCTCGCTCTCTCTCTCTCTCTATATATATCTGTAGATGGGGCCTACTTGACGGGGGGCGTCAAGAGATCAGTGGGGGGTTAGGGGGAGTTTTACACGCCAAGTTTCCGCCCGCTGGCGTACATAATTGAGACTCGATCGTCCTCGGCTTCTCCGTTTTGTCGTCACGCGGAGGGCACAGTGCGGGACGGGGTAGTGCCGGGGCCCTCAATAATTGAGGCGATTGCGGTTTTATCCAGATTTATTTTAACCACCATAATTATCCTCGCCATTCAAAACAAAGAGGGGGAGGGGGGGGGGGATGGGGACCGCGAGCGCAGCTCGAGGCAAGGCGGCCGCACAATGGACCACGACGCGCCCGGATGAGGATCCTCGCCTACCGGTGCGGGCCCTCGCCGTCGCCACGTTGTGCCACTGATACGTGTCGTGTTCACTGCGGCTAGCGTGGTTCGTTCAGCCTGGCGGAGAATCAGGTGGGGGGAGCTGGACGCCGGAGCTCGTCGCGGCGAAAAACCCCCTTCAGAGAGGGGGAGAGAGAGAGAGAGGGAGGGGGGCCTAACGTTGGCTTGTGGAAGTTACGTAATTGCCATGAAATTGGGTTCTGTTTCGTTCAGCCTGGCATAGATGCTCCCCTCGTACCGGCGGCCAGTGTGGGGCATTATGGTAACTTCTGAGAGGGCATCTGCAAGGATAGGATGAGGATAAGGCTCCCTTTCTCTCTCCAGACTCGGGCTTTCTCTGTCTAACACTGTTCACCCCCCTGGCCATTTATAAAATGTGAGCCAAAAGCTGGCCCCTTAGAGCTGTTTCCAGCCCCCTTCTTCCTCCTCCGACCTTCCCCCTCTCACTCTCAGGCTTCTCCGGGCTCCGATCGAGGACGGAGAGTCCATCGCAGTCGTGTCTCACTCCGCCGATCTCTTGGCTTCCCTCCTCTCTCAGGATTCTATCCGCGTCGCTGCAAATGGCGGGGAGGAACCACCGGCTGCTGAAGCAGACCTATCGGTTCTTCGCCTCCGCGGGGGGCGAGGCCGACTGTCCCGCCGCCGCCGCCCTCGCCGCATCCCCCATCTCCGCCGCCGTCGGCGGGGACGAGTTCGACGAGTACGACGTCTGGGGATCCGCAGCGGCCGGCGACGATGGGGGAGAGGGCGCCGCCCATCAGAAGGCCGCGGTGGCGCCGAGGAAGCAATCGGGCAGGGGCGGAGGGGATCGCCACGCAGCGGCGATGGCGGCGGCGTCGCTGCCGGTAAACATACCTGATTGGTCGAAGATCCTGCGCGAGGAGGTGGCCACGGCGCAGAAGGGCGGCGGCGTGGAATCCTGGGACTTGGGGGACGGCGAGGACTGCGCGCGGGAGCCGGTGGTGCCGCCGCACGAGTACCTCTGGAAGAAGCGCGGGGGGGCCGCGTCCTTCTCCGTGCACGAGGGCGTGGGCAGGACGCTCAAGGGCCGCGACCTCAGCCGCGTCCGCAACGCCGTCTGGCAGCAGACTGGCTTCCAGGACTGATCCGTCATCCATCCGATCACCTCTCCCTCCCATCCTCGCCGACGACGATCCCCTCCCCAACCATAGGGGCCGATGATCTCATCCATCGGAGCCGGAGGGAGAGGGAAGCAAGCAACCTCGGAATGCAGAGAGAGAGAGAGAGAGATATATATATATATATATTTATTTATTTTAATATTTACTCTGGCCTTTTTTCCCCTCGCCGCCGAGATTGGGCCGGCCGGTGGGGTTGGTTTCGGAGCCTCTGACTGTTCCCCCCCTTGCTCTCTAATTTACCAGGAAATTCCTCCCTCCCTTTCTTGAATTTAAATGTTTATTTTCGCAGGAAATTACTCGGATTTAAGGGCGAATAAATAATTCTCCTGGAATCACGGTCGATAAAATTCCTCCAGATAACTCCACGTGTGCAGACAGCCAGCGAGGCAACCACCTACCACCACCCCCGCACGCCTCGGCCTCGTCATCCCGCGGGTTTGACCACGGGTGAACACGGATCCCGCGCGCGGATTTAAAAGGTATTTTAAATATAACGGGCCCAAGGATAAGGTTTTAAATACGCACGCAAGTACTTATCTGGACGTCACGGATTTTATTATATCAAGCATATTTTTAAAAAAATTGTGCTGCATTTCATTAACTGGCCAGAAAATGGGCCCAGGGGGCCCCTCAGGTCGGTCCCTCTGCTCGCAGCAAATGGCGGTGGGGCCCGGGGTTTTTTGTCGCGGAATTGATTCCCACCGACGGAGTCGTGGCCGCCCCAGGAGAGCCATGTCATCGATCTCGCCCGTTGCGATGGCCCGCCGTGGCAGCCCCGCTGACTCGTACGATGATATTAGGCATCTGGTCGAGAGAGGCTCGGGCTGTGGGGTGTGGGCCCCGTGCGACCAAATGCACCGATGGCGACCGGCTGGGTTTCACCATCCGCCCCCTGTTCTCATCGGGCCCGCCTAGAACTACTTTTCCTGCATAGACGCGCGTGAAAGCATGCAAGAGAAGTGGCCCGCGCTTCGGTTCGAGCCGTGGAGATTACCCGCCGAAGAAGGGACGAGAAGGGGGGGAGGGGGGGGGGGGCGTTAATCCGTCGCGACTGCCAGCCTTCAGCAGTGTGGGATCGCCCTCTGATTCGCTTGATTGCGTCCAAAATGCGGCCGACATGTTGAGGTTGGGGGTGCTCCGAGTAGCACCGATCCGGCCGCGTTCTGCGACGACAACGGCGACGTTCATAAATGCTACATATCATGCGTGATGAGCGACTTTCAATGCGGAAAGCAGTGCAGATTGACAGGGAGAGAGATACAGAAAGTTTATGGCCGTCCTCGGTGGATTCCGTGAGGACAACGCGCTGGTCTGCCGTGATGCCGAGAGGGGGAAAGACCTCGTCGGTCGCCGGTGGCCCAACGGGCCCTTCTTCTGGTTCCACAAATGCTGAAAGCCCTCGCACCTCCGTTGCCCCACCCCTTCCCAGTGCGGGCGTGTGTCTTCCTCTTCCTGATCTCCACCCCAGAGCCATCCTCGCGCATGCGCGCGGGAGGGGGCAGCATCCATGCGCGGCGCATTAAGGCCGCCGCCAATTTCAACGGGGAGGCGTTCAGCAGCATCTGAATCCCTCGTTGCCATCATCCCTGGTTAGCTCCCTGCTTCCTCCGCCATGTCCGTGGTACCGCAGTACCACCAGAGAGTCCAACGTCCTCAGAATCTCGCGCCTCGTTTGTCCGTGCACTGCCATCTCCAAACCTCGACATAAACGTTTACACGGACAATCGGCATCTTCGCCGGAGATGCGCTCAGCCAGGCACGCAGTGTCTCCTTCGGTGGACGTCATGCAGTCGAGGCCCTCCATTTCAGCTCCTCCCGTACCCTTCAGGTTCGGCCCCTGCGGTGTACGCTGGGCATTGAATGCCCGCCTTGGCGACGGCTCATCCCGTAACCATCCTTTCGGCAATACCCATCCGGGGACCACGTGCGGCCGAGTTCCCATCGTAATCCCTTCGTTCCGGCGGAGGAGATTCCCCGCCACCGCCACTCTATGGGGATATTATTCGTACAAATGACTGGGTGAATCGTTTGTGATTCATTGATAACCCATTGATTTCCCATTCAAGAGGGCGACTTGATCCCTGTCTGTTCGTCTCTGAAGACACCCTCTCTTAGACGTCATGTTCCACTGTTCTTGTTCTGGGGAACTTCATGGTGAGAAAGGCTCTTTTCTCCCTTTGCAGCGTGTCGTTCCGGAGTTCCAACGTCACCTTCACCGTCTTCTGACCCCAGGCAAGCTCTCATGTCACCGGGTTTCGCATGTTTCGCCACCTCCCCGTTCTCCGCGCTGCTGAAGCCTGCCAGATGGGAGGTTCCCGCTCAGATCCCCTCGCTATTGCTCCTCTCAGAGTCTGTTCTTTTAGGTCGGCGGGCCAACAACAGTTATTTCTCTCTTGTTTGAATGTAGGAGTTCTTTCTCCGAATCACCCAAACAAATTATCTCTCTTGTTTGATTCAAGTTTAGGGTTATTTGAACCATGTTTATCATTAGTGGTGTTTTGCAAAATTGTTGGCTATTATCAACTCTTAGGAAATCTCTGTTCTAACAAAGTTGATGCAATTTGGCATTATTTATATTTTTTATGTGCTTTATTAATAGACAGAACCCACATATATCTGCTATACGAGATTCAATTTCTGGTTTCTTGATTTTGATTTGAGCTCTAAGTTTGTTGAAGCTGCTGTCACAACAACAGCAAGCATCAATTAGAGTTGCCTAGTGGTGAAAAAAAAACCCATCTCGCCGTCAACATATGTAGGTGTTTACTCTTGATAGTGCTGATGCCCCCGTTCTTCCTTATCTTGATCTCCTCTGCCCTAAGCTACCATCTCTACCATTAGCATACCTGCTATGATCCACTTGGTTCATACTAAAAGTTTGATGGAGTGTCAAACCCAAACTTTAACTCGATTGCCGTAGAACACAGGTTTACTTTGGTGGAAGATCATATGATAATAATTATTTTTGTAAGTGATCTCTTTCTAGTCCTCATGGGGGTCGATAAAAGTATTGTAAGGATCAGACTCATACCGCATAGATTCAAGCTAATTGCCACTTAAGGTAAGAACAAAATTATGACACATTAATGAGATTAAGTGAACTCAAAAAACCACATGATCTAAGTTCAAGGAATGACAAACCTTATAACCATCAAGTCATATTTGGTTTCCTAAACTCTATGAAACAAAAAATTTCATAAAAATATCTACCTTTATTTTTGCACGAATATCATTCACTTCAATACCACTATGATTTTAAAAAATAATTTCGTTCCTAGCCTTTCCATTGAATTAATAAATACTTGAGTATGAACAAGAAGAATCCCCAAGAGAATAAAATTGAAATATATGTGAAAACCTACGATTTTTTTTTATCTCAAACCAAAATAAGAACATGTTCTTTCAAAGTTTCTATAGGCTAAGTTGTTGACTCTCTTTTTTGTGATCAGACCACTATTAAACACGAGGAAAGAAAATATATTTTAGTATATCACATTTTATTGTATAATAATGTAATATTTCAGCCTCAACATTTTAACATACTACAAGTTTATCTTGAAACAATCATGATATATTTTCTATAACTTTTTAATATTTAAATTTACATTTCAAAATAGCATAATCCATAAAAACTAATATTTCAATATATGACAAGTTCAACTGAAAAGTGTTAGATTCGACTAACGACACTTAGTGCATGCAGTAAATATTAAAACTTCATCTCGTTGACATATCCAAAAGTTACAAACCCTCTGGTGGGCTTCCTATATCATTGACCTTTGAAATAACTCGCAAAGTAAGGTGACCTGTCTCATACCACTTAATATCTAGGGGTCCGTTATCAAGGGCCCATTAGGCCAAGCAAATGGTACCAATAAAAATTTACCTTGTTGAGTTTGATAGGAAGCAAAGCACAATATTATTTTTGATAGTCAAAGCATTATTCATTAATGAAAAGCCTGATATGTCATTCTAGGACATAACATATCCAATTGAGGTACCATTTTATTTGGACCTTATTGGAGGATGAAGAATTGACGCCTTAAAAATAACAAATAGAAGAATCTGACATATATATATATATATTGACAAAGTCAATTGATATAAAAAAACCCATATGTTAGGTATGACCTCTATAGGTCTCACAGGTTAATTGATTAAATACATTCCATGAGTTCAACAATGATTTTCATTTTCCTTGGAGATCAATTTTCAAGTGGGAGATCGTTGAGGCTGTGGGAAAATGATTAAGTTAAAAGTCTTTGTTGAACCAAAGCCATTATATTCATTAGTCTCCATACAGATTCCGTAACCATATCATATAAGAGGGATGAGTCAATTCTCTCTCTGGTAGTATGTGTGACACAATTCTCTATATGAATTAGAATAGGTTTGTGCATGTGCAAATGCAAAAGGCTTCTCTGGTAATATGTGTAGATTCTAGTGTTTTTTTGTATTCTCCCTTATATATCTTGTGGTTTGAATTGGTTCTTTTTATGAAAGGAGGGGACACTCATCTCCTAGCATGCAGTAGCCTCATCTAATTGCTCTGACTTTGCAACTGCTCTTCCAGCTTTAGGAACAATACTCACTAACTACAAGGGGCTCCTCTGGGGCCAGGACCGTTAGCCGAATCTCGTTGTGGAAGGGGTTGGAGGATAGTGTAAGGTGTTAATAGAGCTAGATGACACCTAGCGCACGCTTGATCTCTCCCTTCTGGGCTCCTGAGGAGCGCCCTACAGGAGGTTGGGATCCATTGTCGATATTGGGAGCTGGATGCAGTGAGCCACGCGCTCCACAGGGACTCCAATTGCCGATAAACACATCAACTATGACCCTTCAAGTCAGGCGCTCCCCATTGTCTTCGTTTATCTGCTTTGGTGTGAATTTTACCCATCTATAATCTTCACGTTACGCAATGATTTCAAGGGGATGTTTTAGGATACGATTGATCCCAAGACCAC